AATTCGCTGCGGATTGGATGTGCAGCGATATAGTGGGAATACTTGCAAAAGTTAAGGGAAGTAGAAAAATTGTTCAAAAATTTGAGATGCATTATTGTACATTGACATACTTTATTTTATTATAATGCTCAAGATATGCACAAGATAAATATGTTCAAGATTTCAACCAGCGGCCAGCGATTTTGAGCGATTATCTTTTACACCGCTTAATGTCAGAGTGAAACAGTTATCTTTACTTCACCGAACACTTAGAATTTCTATAATACGCACTATACATATGCAGTGTATAGTGGTAAAGATCTGGTTACAGTAATGGAACCTACTCTCTCTTTGTCTGTCTAAAAATTGTCTCCATGTTCAGCAGTAACAGATGTTGCCTCTAGACGCAATATGAATATGCTCTAAGCTGGAGACAATTTGAGAAAAGGAGATACGCACGATTATTCAAGCCTTGCGGTTCGTTTTTATAGCCACCGATTATCAACAACTATAAAAACGAGCCGCAAAACTCGAATACATAATCGCACGTATCTACTCTTCCCAAATTGTCCATTTTTGTGTACAAGCTGAGCGTCAATTAGGGAGAATTTACTGTAATGCATAGAACATGCTATATGATCTATCAAAGAATTGCTTTTTCCATCTAACCAATTGCTCAACCTTCCACGCACGACAATTTTATCAATAATCAATGAATTTTATAAATAAATGTACAGTATATTTTCTAAGTTTGCACACGATGCGTAGAATCGGCGTCGATTAATCGTATCTGCTCTTCCCAAATTGTCCATTTTCGTGAACAATCTCAGCGTCGATTGGGAAGAATTTACTGTAGTAGCATCGGCATTCCTAATACATTCCCAATGGATTAGCCGGCTAATTTCGTTAAGAGCCGCCGCACATGTTCCTAATGGCTCGCGACGCTTGTTTGCAGAGGATCACGCGAAAGGGCTGAGCACGTTCACCATAATGGCGGGCCTCGGCGGGTTCATGGGCTACGGTTTGGGCGGCATCAACTGGGACGCCACCACGATCGGCGTGATGCTCGGTGGTCATTTGCACGCGACCTTCACGCTGATCACCATCATCTTCATCATCTGCGTGTTCTGCACGATCACCAGTTTCAAGGAGATCCCCCTCGAGCTGCTGGAGAGGGAGGAGTACCAGCAACTTCAAGAGCAAAAGGTTCGTCGTCGCGGCGATGTCATGACAAGTGGACAGCCGATTTCACGGGTTCCTGGAATTACGAGCGGGACGAACCACGGGAACGCGTCGCCGTCGGACTTCAACGATCTGCTTTTTATATTTTTAGAACTAAATTATTAGAACTTAATTAGAACTAAATTAAATTAGAACCAAATATAAAAATAACTCTAAAATTATGCGGAGACAAGAATAAATATGCGATTTGGTTCTTGTTTCTTGCGATCGGTGCGCACAATTTGTATGTTGCATAAAGATCCGCGAGCTGTCGGCAAGCAAAATCGCGTCTAAAAAGAAGATGCGCTCGGAAGTTGGAGTAGATATGTTCTTGTCCAGATGGCTGGCGAAGATAGACAGGACGAGGGGAAGGAGCACGACAGGATCACGACGGAGGAGTCCGTGTCTTACGGGACCTTGGACAACGATCAGGACACTGCGAAGAAAGACGTAAGCGATAGACGATCGTTTCGTACACCTTGTAGCGATTCGAACGAACGATCGACGAATAATCACACGCGTCAACGATGAACAGGAATTCGTCCTGAAACCGCTGCCGGTACCGGAGCCGGAGAAAAGGGCCGGACAGGTGCCTATGTTGCCGGACGCCGTACCGCAAGAGACCGATTGCGGAACATTCGGTTTGGAAGATCCTGACGCGAACCCCAAGGCCACGTTGCGGGAGTACCTGATGTCCATTGTCTACATGCCGTACAGTCTACGCATGGTGTGCCTGACGAACCTGTTCTGCTGGATGGCGCACGTCTGCTATTCCCTGTACTTCACGGATTTCGTCGGCGAAGCGGTCTACGGTGGTAATCCGCAGGTAAATCGATTCGATCGATACGCAAAATACTGAAGCATCATCAAGATTATGGTACCACCGGGAATTGAGAGGTTCCTGAGGTCGTTTGAAGCAACTTCTTCCTTGGCGAAAACGCAATCCGCGGCTTTGTTCGCGAGTTATCAACGAAAAACAGCGACCAATGAGAGGCGAGCGCGGCTGGCGCGAGGCCGCCGAGCCAATCGACGGAACTGGGCTTCGTGCGCTCGTCGACTGGGCCGCCTCGCGTCAGCCGAGCTCGCCTCTCATTGGTCACGGTGCTCCGAAGAGAATGTTTGTAAAGGAGAAAGTTACTTCGAACGATCTCAGGTACGCCTAAGAAGTAATAATAATTATATATATATAGTATTAATAATTTTGAAACACCCTGTACACGTAATACGATAACTCGTCGACTGATGAAACTTCACTCGTAGGCGCCGGACGGTAGCGAGGAGCGGGAGCTCTACGAAAGCGGCGTGAGATTCGGTTGCTGGGGAATGTCCATGTACTCGTTGTCCTGCTCCTGTTACTCGTTGGTCATCGAAAGGTTGATCGAACGCTACAAGTAACCTCCTTTTTTCTTCGATAAATCGACTGCGGATGTTTCTGCGAATTCTTATAAAATAACTCGTCTCCGTGGCGGGGTAACGCGCGACAAACGAACTTCGCAATTTACTTAGGCAAATTTTCTCGTAGCCGGTGAACGCACAAAGATTCGAAGTCCTGTGTCAACGGAACGATGCTCCGCGATACCTGTTCTAAAGTATTTCTGAATTCGAACAGAGCCAGAAGAGTTTACGTCTGCGGCCTGCTGTTCTACAGTACAGGAATGATGATGATGGCGCTGACCAAACATCCCGTGGGAGTGATCGTGTTCTCCTGGACAGCCGGAGTGATGTACTCCACTCTGTTCACCATGCCGTACTTGTTGGTGGCGCATTACCACGCTTCCTCGACGGTGAGTGTAACGAGAACTCTCCCGTCGCCGTTGTAAAAAAAGTCCAGAACAATCTCCATCGTAAAACGGTAGTGCGTCCAATTGCTCCCGGCGGGACGATAAGACCAAAGTTCTCCCGGAGGATTACGCGAAACCGGAGACGCGCGATGATAGACCTCTTCGGGACGATCAAGTGTCCCGGATCCACTCCAGCATATTAACCGGCGACGCTCGAAACAATTAAAAGACCGCCGTATATTAGAACGCGCAGCGAGAACGCTTCGACTTAAATGTAAATGTTTTTGTAACCGTATCTCCATTTTAACGGGGACGGAATTTCATTCTACAATTATTAGACCGTGACGTTCCGTTTTGTGCGCCGCGTTTTCTTCGTCGTACATGTCACGCAAGATCGGTCGAATGTTTTCGAGGCTTTGTTAACGTTCCGCTCAAAAACTTGAAGAAGCTGAGCGCGAAGCACGACAAGTATCCCCGGTCAAGTAATGGCATTAAGATCGTTGTTACGTGACGCAACAACGCATCCAATTTCTCCGCGCGTTCCTAATCGAATTTGATCGACTTTGCAGTTCGAGGTGACAGCCGACGGGGAAGCCGTGCAAAGCGAGGGTGTACGCGGCCTCGGGACCGACGTAGCCATAGTCTCGTCGATGGTCTTCCTGGCGCAGTTCCTGCTCTCTTGCTGCCTCGGCACGATAGTCAGCAAATCCGGAACCACCACCGCTGTGGTCTGCGTGGCCAGCACCCTGGCAGCCTGCGGAGCAATCTCCGCCACGCAGATCATGTACCTCGACCTCTGAAGAGGACCGACGAACAGCCTCCTCGCAAGCATACCGTGAAACCGCTCGAACATCGATGTACAAGAAATTACGACGCTTCACCTACCGGTAGTTGAACGATATGCTCATTCGAAAATCGAAGTGTTAACGATTTCTCTTATCGCATACGTCGAATTTTTACGAGCAAAACATCTTCTAATGTTGTATTCGTTTTCATGGAAATTTGTAACATCGTATTCGCCTCGTTTTTTCCTTATATTACTTATGTGACAAGCGATTAATGTTTCGGACCTCAACTCGTTACACGAGTAATTAGTTATAATTGTAATATCAGGTTTGATGTTATGTCAATGAAGAGAAGAACGAGTTAAATACGATGGTTTTGTCGACGAAAGATCTGAAATAAGGAACATCGGTTTTTGAATTTAAAACGCTTTCTTTGACAATCGCTATTCTTCTTTACTTTTTGTAACACTATAAATACTATAAATCGTTTCGTTCGGGATTTTTTGTTTTAACTTTCGATAGGTGAAGCGTTAACCGAATATAACTGTGAGGTATCCATAGCCGTTTCTCATAGACTCCATGCACGTTGTATACGAGCTTGTGCGCGAGGAACAATAGCAGTTCGATCGTGCACGGTGCGATGTCCTAGGACTTGATCTTATTGTATAAAGTCACCGAGAAGTTGTAACGAGGTCTGTATAATCTTTGGGACACCCTCTGCGCAAGCGGAGGATTCCCGCCGGCGTGCGGCTCGTGTTCGCTTAACAACAGTGCCATGTTAACAATGCACAAAAATAAATGGCTCCGCTGACTGCAGGCGACACGGCTCCGACCCCACTTCCGACTCGAAACTGCATGCTTCAGGACACTTGTAAATATGTGTGTATCTTGTAAAAACGTAATAAAAACGTGCGAAGGGCGCGCGGCTCTTCGGGATTAATCGAAATTCAAACGCGTAGATCGCACACCGCCTGAGCGGCTTGGACGTCCTTGATCATTAGCCTGCTGAAGTCCAAGAGGTACATGCTGACGTATTCGTCGTCGACCAGACCCTGTGCCGAACGTCAAAATGATCTCCGACACGGTCGTGAAAAAAAAAACGCCAAAGAATCAGAGTAGAAAATTCGCTTATTCGGACCGACCTGAACGATCTCGTAGTGTCTGTCCCTGCAGAAGACGGGATAAGAGAAAAATATGCCAGCCGGGATGCCGTAAGAATGATCGGACAGCACGCTCATGCAGGTCCATTCGTTCCTCGGGGTGCCGTTCCATAGAATTTTGCAATGATCGGCCAGCGCGTACGCCAGAGATCTTGTGTAGGCAGGTCTGCGCAGGATACCTCGCATAATCTGTTAAAAAACCGGCAGGTTCAAGGTGAATCGTTTAAACTGGAGCTTTTTCAGAATTTCGCGAACGTTTACCCGCGGCAGCTCCTTCTTCAGCCACACCTTTAGCTTGTCGGTCACGGGCTGACCGTTCGCCAGGTACATGTACCTGCAATCTGGAAAGCAGTATTTGTTGTTGGTGCCCCACACTATGATGTTCTTGACGTGCGTCGGCTGGCAATGTGCCTGTGCCGCGATCTGAAATGGGGGCAGTCGTCGTCTTGCATGCGATTACCAAAATGCGGTTCGGCATAGGAATTTTAGGTCTCCCATAGCCTTCTATGCTACAGCAATCTGTCTAATGTTCCCTTTATATCGTACGTATGCGGCAGCGATCCGCCAATTGAACAACGACAGCGCAGTTATGTTCCTCCTAGGAGTAGTCGTTGCATAGCGGGAGATTATGCTAGCGGCGGTGCTCCCCAGCGCTATGATCCTCACGTCCTTCTTCGCGTAACTCTCGATGAACTTGCCCTACGGCGATGATTTTAAAGAATGCGAAACATTAAGGATCTACCGAGACAATGGTAATTTCGTTTACGTAGGACTTTAGAACTTCGACGAATTCCCTGAAGAACGGATCATTGTACTCTTCTTCATTGAACCAGTACTCCCTCGCTGGACCGATGCAGAAAACTACGTCCGCGTTCTCGAATGCGACCGATGCATCGTGACCGTACACGATGCCTGCAGACGCCGTATAGATTGTTTATTTAATTCCGATGACGGGTAAATGGGAAGGGCGCCGCGCGTTCGTTCAGTTTACCTTCCAGGAGATTGGGACTGCACAGAGTGAGTTCGATCGCGACACTCTCCAAAAACACTGCTCTGCTGTGAAACTCGTGTATGCTGAGGAAGATCGATTGATCAGGTCCGAATATCTCGTCGGAGAAAATCCTGTAGGCTAGAGCAAGCGCGATTTCGGTGCTGCCGTCGGTGATGACGACTCGCATGGCATCGTTCTTCCGTCGGGATGCATGGGTCACCGTTATTTCGTCGGATTCGCAATCCCCGGAACTCATTTTACTATAATATATTGCTGGGATAATTTGCAATTCTCGCACTTCTTGAAAGAATGAAGATAATCCTTGAAGTTGACCTCGATCGGTGCAGTGATTTTCCATCGTTTAAAATTGAAATGACAGCTGACGAATGCTTCTTCCAACACTGCGCGCTAAAAAGACAAAAAATGAACGCATTGATATCTGGGAACATTTTTATTAAGTGCGTAAATTGTTGATACATTTCTCTAAAATGTCCTTTCGGATGCGCGGGTAGTCGGGACTTTGTTTAAGGATCTCGTTGCAGGCGTCGATGGCCTCCGCGTACGTTTTTGCCTTCATGGAGCAGTAGGCCAGCTTGTAAGCCACCGACAGCTTAGACTTCCCGCCGTACTTCCATGCTTGACAGTACTGTAACGCGGCTTCCTTGTAGTTCTGCTCCTTCTCAGCGATATGACCAGACAGCTCATGGGCTCTGACGCAGGTGGCATTGTGTTGAAGGACTCTCTTCAACAGCTCATTAGCCAGGTCGTACTTATTCGATTGCACGTAAATATTAGCCAACAATAACCAACAGCGTTCCAGATACTCGGCGTCCTCGAAGGTCCAAATATTCTTGCTGACCCGTTTCAAGTGGTTCCGTGCCCTTGGCGTTTGCTTCAGAAGAATGTGTGCCATCGCCATTCCAAGAGCCGGCCCCACGTGGTCCCGCAAAGCTTCCTGACTAGCTAGCGCGGTGCAATCCTGCAAAGCCTTCTCTATGTTCGACTTTTGCTTCGTAGTCAGCAGAAAAAAGTTACTCAGCAGCCTGTGAGTCAGCATTTCGTGGGGACTACCCTTAGGATTCAATTCCTGAAGCATAGGTACGGTTATATAACTTGTACGTATGACCTCTGGCATATAATTGGCATATAATTTTCTTAATTTTACCTGCAGCAACCGGTAAGCCGTTTTCAAGGCCATCGTTCTCGCATCTTGGTACTCGGCGTCGTCGTCATTGAATACTTCATTAGATAAAGACGAATCGTCATCTGGATCTAAACAAATCTCAATCATGTTATATATTGCCTGTTGACCCCACTCTGGATCTCGTCTTGCAAAATTAAACTGACGAAGCGCGGAGTTTAATTTGCCCGTGCGCCAGTCTAGTAAGCCGGCGCAATAATAGTATCCAGCTGCCAAGTTAGAACCGCTTGTCTCTAATTCCGCACGGTGAAGCCATTCCTCCAAATCGTCCATATTACCTAAATCGGACACAAGCTACTGTCAGATAATTGTTGCAATAAATGCTATAGTTTCCCTCTTATCTTCCCTACCTGTTCTACGAGATACCTCAATGAGCCTTGCCAAGGCAGTCCAATACGTCGGTTGTTTCATCAACAATTGCTTAAAATGATAGGCTGCAGTGTCAAAATCCACCTTGCGGAACGCAAGATCAGCCATCATTATCGAAGCTGCTTCGTTGTTCGGATCCGCATTCAGCAGAGCTGTACAGCTCTGAGCACATCTGTCCAGGTTATTGGTCTGTTGATTAAAAATCTTCAGTGACTATCAGATTCAACTCCGAAGAGTTTCGCAATCGTTTACCTGCATGTATATCTTTGCCAAAGATAGAAGAGCTTGCACGTCCGCAGGTTTATAATTCAATGCTTCCTTGTAGTACGTTATAGCTTGATCGTAGTCCCTTAGTGACGATGAATAGTCGGCCATAGTCAAACAAATGTTTGCTAAAATCTGCTTCTCGTCCTCCAACGAGGAGCTTCCTAAACGTTGTATGTACCTGTGCTGGTTCTCTTTGGCCTCTTTTAGCGTGGACAAAGCACCGTGGATATTATCCGCCTTCTCTCTTGTCTTTGCCAGCAAGAGCAACAACTTGCCCCGCACTTCCAAGCTTAATAAGTCGGAATCCCGACGTCCATCTGAAAATATATGATAAACTGTTCGCAACAGTACTATGATAATGTCGAGTATAAACAAAACCTGCCTTGCAGTTCCTGTACTAACGTAGCTTCTGCTTTATCGTACTGTTTCATTGTGACAAACAACTTGGCGAGGTCCAGTTTCAATCCCTTAAAATTTTCTTGCTTTATCACATCCCAGTAATAATTTATCGCCTTCGTGTACTGGTGCGTTTTTACCAGAGCTTTTCCTAGCTTACTGGCTATGTGCAACTTATTTATGGAATTCTGTTGCAAGGCTTGCTCGTACGACTCTATCGCTCTTTCCGGTTCCTGTATGGAAATGTACGCGTCGCCTAACATACTGTATGTCTTTGGACCTGGACAGTGCTCTACCAATTCCCTACAAGTAAACAAATATTTTCAATATACTTTCCTAGGATTATAATTGAACGGGCACGTGGCTCTTTAAATAAATAAATAAAACAAACCTGAAACACATAGCAAAGGCAAGCCGGTCCTTCTTGTGTTTCAAATTAATTTCAGCCAAACGAGTGTGCGCTTGCAGATAATAAGGCTGATCCGGTGTGACTTTGGACAAACATTCGATGGCTTCGTCCAACTCACCCATTTCCAAAAGCAGTTCCGCATTTCCTATCAGAATTCTACCTTCCTCGATAGTATGCCCAAGCCTCAAATTTGCCTCCTGTATCACAGCAACAGCTTCATTAAAACGTCTCATTTTCCCATAAGCAGAGATTAGTTCGAGATACAACGTTGCAGCATCCGAGGCTGAAATGTGCATAGTCTCTACATTGGTCTCGTGAGATTGCAGTCCTGCGTAGGACATAGCAGTCTGAAAGCTTTTTATAGCGCTCTCAATATCCTTATTTTCTTTCTGAACAATGCCTAAAATCAAATGATAAATAGGATTGTCCCTGATTTTGAAGTTATAGCTTAGACCGACTTCGAGACTCTGTGAAGCCAGCTGATAATTCCCCTGGCAGGCCAGGATCTGAGCCATTAACAAATGTGCTTCAGCATTAGAGGAGTCAACATTGTTCAGAATGTTCTTTAGTATTATGCTAGCTTTCTCCAATTCGCCGCTCTGTATCTTAGCTTTGCTAAGTAGCAATTGTGCTGTGATTAATCCGGGATAGGCGTTTGTAAGTTCCTCCAATAGACACAAACATGGCTCTTTATCGTTCAACACCTTTTCCTCTGGATTTGTTACATTGTTCGTTATGGAATATACTAATCGTTGCTTGCAGATGTCCAGGCACAAATCAGGATTTAATTTTTTTATGTAGTCATATCCATATGGTATATAGCTGCAGTTGTCCAGTATAATGGTAGCTGCATTGTCCAAGTCAATCAGAGCCTGACTCGGAGAAGCAGACTTTACTTTCGCAGACATGAAGAGCAAATCTGCACTCGTCGATTTAGATTGCATCTCCATCAAAAAGTCGATTTGTTGGGTGGCCAAGTCCAGTCCTTCTATAGAGTTGTCCAGAAGCTGACATTGTGCCAGACCTATCAGAGCCGAGAAGGACGATTCATTTATTTTAACGGCGCTCTTGTAATAATGTTCTGCCTCCTTCACGTTTCCCTGTAACATATACAAATTTCCCAGCTCGACCATTAGGTCTGCATTCTTAGGACTTTGTTGCAATACTCTGTCGACTGTCCTCGCAAGCTCCAACAGAATTTCCTGATTTTTGCATGCTAACCGCGAGAACAGTTGGATGTTACTAATTAATACAGTAACATTCCGCGTCTCTGTCAGGATTAAATATCTAAAGAATGTTTGAAGATCCTTCAATCCTTCTTCATAATTCCCAATTCTGCAAAACGTTATGAACACTCGTGCTTTCAAAGCATCTAAATTGTTCAAATCTATAGATGATATTCTGTTAGCCGTCTCCAGAGCCTGATCCCAATCCTTTGTAGTGAGCTGATTGTATAGTTTTTCCACTAAAGGTATGTGCAACTTAGGGTAACGTACTATCAATGAGTTCAATGTTAATATTGCTCCCGCACTATCGTCGTGCTGCTGTTTGTACTTTGCAGTGCCAAGGAGAGCATAAACATTTCTTGGGTGCTTTTCTAAAACCGTTTCGAATATGTTAGGTTTGTCCACACTGGTTTTGTTCATTGTGAACAAATCTATCCAGCCTTTAATCAAAAGAACGTTTATATTAGACGAATCTAGCTTGTAAGCTTTCTCTATGTAATCTTTAGCCTTCTCAACTTTCTGAGATAAAAACAGCACCAATGCTGCCAATGACAATGCGTTTGGAGATGATTTTCTTCTCTCGTCTCTGATTCTGGATTCAATTTGCATCAGCGTAGTCCTTTCAACATTTTCGCTGTTTGTGTATGCAATATTCTGGAGAACCAATACTGCCAAAACTGCATCTACATTATTCAATATAGCCGCACTTTCTTTAATTGCTTCCTGAGTTTTTCCAGTTAATGCATTTGCAAGACTTAATAGAATTCTTAAACGATCGCTCGTCGGATATGCATCGCATGCTTCTTTGCAATAAGACAACATGGCGGTGTAATAAAATTGACGGCAATACCACTCGATAATAGTTGCATACTCTGTTTCCTCCATTTTATGGATGATGTAAAATACTGAATTGTAACGGTAAATGTGTGAATAGAAAGTTGCTTATGTGGTCTACCAATTTCTTAAAATGTGCGCTATCATTGCAACAAAATTACTATATAGAATTTATCAAAAAGTCTTCAGGATCGGGCAACTCATAAATGATGTCATGATCTAATGGTTCTGAGTCGGGTCCTTCTAGTATATTTGTAGGTCCGACAATAAGTTCTTCTAAATCAGGGTTCTTAACTGCAAGGTAGTATTTTTGCACGTAATCACAGGTCAAGAACATGTAGTAAGAATTTAATATCGCATATGTAAATGCTGTCTGAAAGTATAATTTACATGTTACTTTTTGTGTTATAAAATTTTGGTATTATACATCATGTTTTTTGTGATAACTGTGATTATAAATAAGAAAATTTAAAAAATTTGATTACTTCAGTAAGGAGTCGAGCTAAACCTTTTCCTGTATATCTATAAGGCACATTAATTGCTTGCATATCCAAAACCTTTCCATCTGTATTATATTGTAGCACAGCTTTTGCTGAAAGAATTAAAAAATTTTTATTTACAGTCATAAATAATCTATAGTTAAACTACAAGTAATCAGTCATTGTTTACAAATTTGATGACGTGCTTTCAGTTCATGAACCAAAAATAGAATACTATTCTTTTAAATTACAACTGCTTAAATATTGTAACTTACAATTATCTTCCAATTTTACATAGAAAAGACCTCGTTTTTCGTTATGATGTACAGGGTAATTTGAAATGAGTCTTGCATACTGATTTCTTTGAAATCGATTTAACGTAAATGATATTTTAGTCATGTAACTCATACCATTGGAATCATATGAAGTAAAAATAATATAAATCACGCCAAGTATGGTCTAATTATCTATATACATACAAATCTCACAAAATTCATAATTTCTCTTTGTCTTCGAATAAAAATTTTAATAGTATTAGAGGTTATATGAAGTAGTAGTATAGGTTATGTTATTGATTGTAAACTGTTGCTTAGCAACCAAACGGAAAATGTCATTCTACGCATCACGTACAAACTTAGAAAATATAACTGTACATTTATTTATAAAATTCATTGATTATTGATAAAATTGTCGTGCGTGGAAGGTTGAGCAATTGGTTAGATGGAAAAAGCAATTCTTTGATAGATCATATAGCATGTTCTATGCATTACAGTAAATTCTCCCTAATTGACGCTCAGCTTGTACACAAAAATGGACAATTTGGGAAGGGTAGATACATACGATTATGTATTCGAGTTTTTCGGCTCGTTTTTATAGTTGTTGATAATCGGTGGCTATAAAAACGAACCGCAAGGCTTGAATAATCGTGCGTATCTCCTTTTCTCAAATTGTCTCCAGCTTAGAGCATATACATATTGTGTCTAGAGGCAACATCTGTTACTGCTGAACATGGAGACAATTTTTAGACAGACAAAGAGAGAGTAGGTTCCATTACTGTAACCAGATCTTTACCACTATACA